AAGAACTTCTTTTTGGGCTTCTCCTTCTGAAGCTTTGGACAGTCACTTTTATAGTGCCCTTGCTCATTGTACTTATAGCAGATGATGTCCTTGTTATTTGAATTTCTGTGTCCTGAAGAACCTTCAGATCTTCTATGTCCAGAGGAAGACTAAGACTTTCTGTATTTGGAAGAGGATTCATTTTGATTCTCTGATCTTCTAGGATTTCTAAATTTCCTTTGTCTCTGCTTCCACAGTTGATTCACCCTTCTGGAGAGGAGAGACAATTCATCTTCTTCTAATGAGGATCCATCAGAGGTTTCTTCCATAGCCTGCAAAACCTTAGAATCATATTTTCTGTTAGATTTTAAAGCTAGTGGCTTACCTTGCTTTTGAGGCTCATCTTCTTCAAGCTCTATCTCGTGACTTCTGAGGGAGCTGACAAGTTCCTCCAGAGATATCTTGTTGAGATCTTTGGCTAGCTTAAGTGTTGTGACCATTGGCCTTCATTGCTTGGGTAGACTTCTGATGATCTTCTTTACGTGATCAGCAGTAGAATATCCTTTGTCAAGAACTTTCAGCCCAACAACAAGGATCTGGAATCTTGAGAACATTGTTTCTATGGATTCACTATCTTCTATCTTAAATGCCTCATACTTCTGAATGAGCGCAAGGGATTTGGTTTCTTTGACTTGAATGTTGCCTTCATGCGTCATTCTCAGAGAGTCAAACATATTTTTGGCTGTCTCTCTGTTTGAGACTTTCTCATTTTCTGAGTATGAGATAGCACTGAGAAGTGTTGTTCTGGCCTTATGATGATTTATGAAGTCATGTTTCTGCTGGTCAGACATCATTTTTCTGTCTATCTTCTGACCCCTTCCATCCACTGGATGTGTGTATCCATCAGTTACCATGTCCCATAGATCAGCATCATGGGCCAGAAAGAAGCTCTCAATTCTGTCTTTCTAGTAGTCAAAGTTTTCTCCATCAAAGACTGGAGGTTTGCCATTGATTCTGTCTTTGTCTTCATGATAGTCATTGTTGATGTTTTGGCTTGGTCCCACCATAGTGTTTTTCTGAAGCTTGGATCTTGTACTAACACGGTTAAGTGTATAAACTCAGAACCAGGCACTCTGATGCCAATTAAAGAAGTGAAAAACACAAGAAGGGGGGCGGGGGGGGGGGGGGGGGGGGGGGGGTTGAATTGAAAACTTGAAATCAAATGCGCAAAGACATAGTATTTTTATCCTGGTTCGTTTTTTCTCAAACTACTCTAGTCCACCCGTCAAGGTGATTTCGCCTCTCTCCAACGAGGTCTTAATCCACTAATCTCAAACAGATTACAATAACTACTTTGACAACTGTCAAAGTCTTGTTGAGTACAACCACAATCCGGTTAATCTCAAGGAAAATTGTTCTTAATCAAAGATACAAAAATTCTGTGTAGATGTTTTTCATTGCAAAAACAGTTATCACAATTGTGATAATTTACACAATTTTAGAGCGTGGAAATATACTAGAGAAAGCTTGCAGCGTTTTTGAATTGTATGTTGTAGTAGCGTTGGCAAATCGTAAACAATTTGATCTCTTAGCTTGTATTTATAGGCAATGGAATTATGTCCAACTTTAAGCATGACTATGGTCATTAACGCAATTTCCATTTTGAGAAGATCTTGTCTGAAAGAAGCCGTTGTAATTGATGCTGTCTTGATTGTAAAGTAACGCTTCAGAATCTTACATCCTTGCTTGCTGCTGATGCTTCAGAACATTGATGTCTTAGATTATATTCCTTCTGTTCAGAATCAAAGTTTACTTCACTTAAGCGCAGATTCTGATCATCATTCTTCAGCGCAAATTCTGATTACCTCAGCATGTAACTTCTATAGCTTAACTTCTGATGTTGCTTTGGTCAGAACTTCTGTATATAAAATAACATAATTTTTAGGGTGCATATTTGTTCTTTGTATTTGTTATCATCAAAACTCTAATTAAGGGTTGTAGAATCAAACTATGTTCTAACACCAAGGAGCTCAAATCCCTCTCTTCCCTGCGGATTTCGTGTGGTGGGGGTTGGACATCCTCGGTTCTTTTGTCTTAGGGGAAAATAAAAAAAAGTAACTGATAGTTTGCGTGGATATTTCATAAAGTGGATAGAGGCAGAGGCCCTTTCCAAAATCACGACACAAAACATACTTTGTTTTTATTAAATAAACATACTTGCCCGATTAGGCGTACCCCGAGCAATCATCACCGACAACGAGACACAATTCATCGACATCAGTTTTCAAGAATTTGTCACCAAACAAGGCACCAAACAACACTTCACATCGGTCGAACACCCATAAAAAAATGGGCAGGCTAAGTCCACAAACAGAGTGATCTTACGAGGCGTGGAACTGTGGTTAGACGAGACCAAAAATAAATGGGTCGAAGAGCTACATACCATGCTATGGGCCTACCAAACAACCCCTTACTCTACCACTGGGGAAACCCTTTTCCGAATGGCCTACGGGACTGAAGCGGTAATCTCGGTCGAAATAAAAGAGCCTTCCAGGCGAAATGAATCTCCCCTCGACAAGGAGATGAACATCGAGGCACTAAGAGAGGAGATCGACTTTGTTAAAGAAGTTCTATCGGGGGAAGCCCTCTGAGAAGCCTCACTAAAACAAAAAATTGTCATTCGTCACGACGCAAAAGTCATAAGATGAGATTTCGAAGTCGACAAACTAGTCCTAAAGAGAAAACACAAAGATTCTCGCAAGGGAAAACTCGTCGTAAATTGGGAAGGCCCCTATTACATTTGAGCAAAAACAGAGAATGAAGCCCACTACCTTGAAAATTTACATGGGTAAGAACTCACTCGACTATGGAACACTGAAAAACTAAAACAATATTACAGTTAGGACCTACAGTAGAAGTGCCCTGTACAAATAATGAACATTACATTTCCCGACCATTGAGGCATGCTCGGGCACAAGCACTGCAACCCAAACTTAGACGAAAAGGCAAGTTTCCACTCTTTAAGGAGAAGACTCTTGACCCGGTGGGGAAACCTCAAACGAGCTTCACTACTATCGTGCCATGTTGACATTACACCCAGCTCGCGATGGGAAGTTTGTAGCCGTGAAAATCGGAGATCAAGCTATTAATTAACTTGACTCGCAAATAAGCAAGAGTCTCCACCGCGCTTTATTATTTCCAAGGGAAAAGGGAAAAGTGCGAAATAAAACCCATAAATATGCAGAGTAAGTGCAGTACTAAAGAAGTAAATAAAAATACAATGCATTTGAAAGAGATTGAAGGTTCGGAGGTTGGTTATACAAAGGGAATGCATTAGCACCCTATGTATCTATAGTATCCTATAGGAAACTTTTGAAATATCTGTTTTTGGTTAAAATTGATTTGCTTGCTAAATGAGTGTGGGGATGAGATTTTGAACATGCGACGACCTAGTGTCAAACTTTTACCTTAAATGAGTGTAGGTTAAAAAATTGATTTTTTAGGAGTTTTAACTTAAGATTAAAAAAACTAAAAAAGTATGAAGGAGTTTCGCATAATCGTATTAGATACTCGATGAGATGAAGTCAACAAATTAATTCTTTCCCTTGGAATTAAACAAAATTACTAACAGAATGACACTCACCAAGACATCACAAGGTGATCAAGCATCAATCGTCAAAATTAAAACCTAATTATATAATAAGTGAAACCCTAGCACAAACATCATTGACATGATATTGTCAACATGAAAAATCATCAAACAATTTGGTCAAGACCAAACAAAAATATGACATTCAAAGATCAAGTATCATGGAACTCAACTACATGACAAGTCTCAAACACAAGTAAGAATCAAATAAGGAGAAGCAACATGTCATATTATAAGTCAAGCTAAAGTCACAAGTGAACAAGTAAAAACATGAAGTGTACATTTAATCAATTAATTAAAAGCCTAAAATGTGTGCAAGAAGAACAACTAAACAAATAGATGATTATCATGCAAATTAATTAAATTAATTGAAACTATTTAATAAAACTAATTAAAAAATTAGTTAAACTAAATAAAATCGATTAACAAAACTAATTACTAACAGAAAATCTCAAAAATGAAAATAAAACAATTAAAGGGAAAAACAAAAATTAACAAAACTAATTACTGATTTAAGAAAAACAAAGATAAAAAACAATTAAAAATGGAGAAATAAAATAAATGGAGGTGAAGAGAATGATATGGGTGTGCTTGAAGAGTAAATCAGATTAGGCTTAAAGAGGAACATAAATAAGGGTTGCAAATAGAAATTAAGCCCATAAATCCAATGAAACACTAAATCTTAGTTATTATTTAAAAAATGATGATGTTGATGATGATGGGTGGTAGACCGTAACCTCCTCTATTCATCTCTAAACTTGTTTATTAATTTTTCATTTAAGAAAAAAAACATTAAATGTAGTAAAGACATCAAATGACAAACCAATAGAACATAGCCACATATTTATCAAATTAAGAACAAAATAATAAATAAAGGATGAAAAATACAACAAGTGATTCATGTTACTCTCTCTCCTCAATCTCATGTTATTTCTCTCTATTTTCCATTCTCTCTCGACTCAACTTCTCTCTCAAAATAAACAAAAATCGCCATTGATAAACCAAGAAGAAAATTCAATCAAAGTGGGGAACAAAGACATGGTTTGATCAAATTCTCAAAAACGAAGACAACAACATCTAAATTCGGTTTAATATTTTCCGACGAGCAAGCACAATCAAGGTATTCTTCAATCTATTTCTCTTTCTACACTCTTTCCGCTTTGTCTATGTTATGTTGGTTTGATATGTTTGTTTATTACAGGTTGATAAGGAGGTGATGAGGATTAAAGGTGCAAGTTGGTATATATGAGGATACGAGGGTTTGAAGTTTAGCAGGGTTGAAGAATAAGAGTATCATTGAATAGAGTTTTACAGGAGAGGCATAGAGTATCGAGTGTGAAGAGTGAGGTATGAAACCACTTTTCCTCTTTTTATGGTGTATATTTTTCTGCTCTATTCTTGTTGTTCTGCCTGGAGTTTTCTTCTCGTTTCTATTTTGGATTTCTGGGAATTGGATGTTGTTGTATGGTATGTTGTTTGTTCAATTGCAGGTACTAGTTTTGCAGCTATGGATGTGTTGTTGTGTGGATATGGAGGAAGAGTTTTGTTACTATTTTCTCTCCTTTTGTCTATGATCCCCAAGATCAGTCATCTCCCCCTCTTTATCTGTGGACTCTTCCTTTTTATAGTCATAGTAAAGTGAAATTGGGAGGGAAATATTAACACATTTGAACATAAGTAGTAACCTATTTCATTGTTTTTTTATGCAAGTTTTGTTTTGCTAAACTTGTACAAATATTGAACTGACATGGTACAGGTTTGGACAGAAAGAGATAGGCACTGTTTCTCATATTGCAGCAGGTTTTTTTTGTAGTCTTATGGACTGTATTTGGACTGTTTTTGCAGGAAGATTAGCAGGTTTTAGAGCAGCAAAACAACAACAGTTTGGACTGGTTGGTTTGGCTTAGCATGAAGACTAGTGAATAATTTTTAGACTTAGGAATTCATGTACAAACTTATGATGCACCTTGTAATGTTTAAATTAAATGATTCTTGAAAAGGTTTATGCTTGGATTAATAAAAAAATCAATCTTGAGAACTTTGTAACTATATCTTTTATTGTATCATTTCAACTTGTAATGGCCAGGTGAATTGTAACTATTTCATCTTGAATGAATTTGAGACTTATTGAATGAATTTTGAATGATGAATGAACATATTGTATTTGCTTCTAGAATTCCAAACAAATTACATGACTTGATCTTCGAAATTGGGCAAACTTGCATCATGAGAAATTAGTTCTTTTATATATCTTGAATCCAAAAGCAAATTCATATGAATGAATTGCGCCTCACATACTTGAATCGATTTGAAATCAAAAAGAATTATTCAAATTTATCCTCAAATATTCTTCTTTAAAACTCATATCTTCATTTCGTGGTAACTTGCAATACGAGCCAATAATACAAATCGTGCCTTTAAGAAATTTAACCAACAATTCACCTTAATCCAACGATCGCTAATGTTCAATTGCAAATGACTTGAAGTAGGAAACAATCAATCAAAGAATCATTGAACTAAAACTCTAGTTTCATGAATTATCCCAACATAAGAATCAAACGTCCTTTGAGAAAATGTTCGTGGCATGAATTGAACCTAGAAATTAAAATCATCATTAGTCAAGTAATGACGAATAATGTTTCGGTAAATTTCATGGCTTCCCAAGCACAATTGACCTCGATCTTTGAAGTAATCTCATAGACAACGCTATTTATGATACTTTGCAAAAAGAATCGCCTCAGGACGTTGAAAATTAAAGAAGTTATGACCCTCGAAAGTTGGACAAGAGTTTCTTGAGATTAGGTCAAATTTGCAAAATGACCTCTAAAGTATTCGAATTTTCGATGATCCTCCACACACAATCAACTTTTGACTTCTAAAGAGAAGTGGGAGATGACATTGAGGAGAGTCATACGCAAAAGAACCACTCAAAAATATGAAATAATGAAGAAGTTATGATCGTTTGAACTTTAACTTGTAAGAGTTAACTTTTGGTCGAAGCGCTTTAAATCGTCTCACATAGCCCGATCTTTTCTTGCATTCCAAGACACATTGATGCACATGTGAACCAGCGATAATGAAACCTCGATTGTTCTCTTGAGATTAGAGGCTAAGATTTGATGAAGTAGCTTCTGAGAATTGATGATTCAACATTCTTGAACACTTAAGGGACCAAAAACCCTAACTGAGGCGCAATACCTGATGCTCTTGATTCAGACCTGTCTATGCACAGGAAACAAAAGAAACACAAACATACACCTTTGTATGTGATTAGAAGTTAGTGATACATAGGCTAAAAATGTTCAAAACACTTGACAATCTCTGCATAGGCAATGCTCGAAGGTGAGAGGTTAAAATCGACTGTATTTCGTGACCTTGATTTTTGTATAAAAATGCAAATAAAGATGGGATCTTAGGTCAAAAATTGGGGTATGACAGCTGCCCCTATTTAAGTTTCTTCTATTCGGAGATATGAAGATTGAAATGTTTGTCTCGACGAGATTGAAGGGACTTAAATATAGAATACACAATTTTTGGCCTTAAGATACTGCAATTGTGTTTATGACATGATATGAATGTAATATTTTGAATTTTTATGGGGAATGATGTTGCATGAGACAAACTACTGCTGGAGAAACCAAGCACGTGATAAAATAATCCCATAGGGGAAGAGATTATAACTCCATTGGAGAAACATAGCCACAGACTTCGAATGAGAGACTCTTATTTTGGGAATATCTTTGAAAGAAGAAAAGTTTATGACTCTATTAGAGAAGACGCTTTGCATAGGCTGTGAAAAGATAAATGACTAATGACCTGTGACGATGGTAAATTTATGACTCAGGGTCAAAGGTAGAAAAATAAAAGATGCACTGACTTTTACCAAAGGTGAACTACCAAACTTTACTGAAAGTGAAACAAAGATGCATCAACTTTTACTGAAGATGAAATACCAACTCAGGGTTGATAGTAGAACAAACAACATAATATTGACTCGGAAACGATAGTGAATGTCAGCCTTGAGACTGGTAAGCAAATAATTGACATCATCACTATGATTGGGGATGAAATGCTTTACATTAGTACTGCAACTAGAGAAAGAAATGATTTACATTAGTATTGAGAATGGAGAAAGAAATGATTTACATCAGTACTGAGACTGGAGAAAGAAATGATTTACATCAGTACTGAGACTAGAGAAAACTCAACTCTATTAGGGCAAAGTATAATGAGGAGAAAGAAGAAGATACTTACTAACAAACGAGTGAACTATTAGCTCATAGAACAAGAATAAGTTTCCCAAAATTCTGGCATTCCACCTAGAACGGGTCTCAACTTCTTCTTTAATCAAGATATCACTCGGAAAGGATAATAAACTTCTCTAACTTCTGGATTTCACCTAGAATGGAGAATAGTTTCTTCTTTATCCAATATATCACACGTAAAAGGTAATATACAAACTTCTCTGCAGGACTTTTTTGGAGAGATGCCATTTGCCGTCGATGAGCAAACTTCTCAAAAGAGATGCCATTTGCTGTTGATGAGCAAATTTCTCAAAAGAGACGCCATTTGCTGTTGAAATAACGTATTATTGGGGATACACAAGCTGCTCAAATAAAGATGCCGCCACTTGCTGTCTTTCAAAGATATCAATAATGCACAAGCTTCTCATGAAGAGGCCGCCACTTGCTGTCTTCCAAAGATATCAATAATGCACAAGCTGCTCATGAAGAGGCTGCAACTTGCTATCTTCCAAAGATATCAATAATACATAAGCTGCTCATGAAGAGTCTTCCACTTGCTATATTCCAAAGATATCAATGACACACAAGCTGCTCATGAAGAGTCCGCCACTTACTACTTTCCAAAGATATCAATAATACATAAGCTGTTCATGAAGAGTCCACCACTTGCTATCTTCCAAAGATATCAATAATACACAAGCTGCAAATAAAGAGGCTTCCACTTGCTGCTTTCCAAAGATATCAATAATACACAAGCTGCTCATGAATAGGCCGCCACTTGCTATCTTCCAAAGATATCAATAATACACAAGCTGCTCATGAAGAGTCCGCCACTTGCTATCTTCCAAAGATATCAATAATACACAAGCTGCTCATGAGGAGTCCGCCACTTGCAATATTCCAAAGATATCAATGACACACAAGCTTCTCATGAAGAGTACCCCACTTGCTATTTTCCAAAGATATCAATAATACACAAGTTGCTCATGAAGAGTCCACCACTTGATATCTTCCAAAGATATCAATAATACACAAGCTGCTCATGAAGATTCCGCCACTTGCTGCTTTCCAAAGATATCAATAATACACAAGTTGCTCATGAAGAGTCTGCCACTTGCTATCTTCCAAATATATCAATAATACACAAGCTTCTCATGAAGAGTCCTCCACTTGCTATCTCCCAAAGATATCAATAATACATAAGCTGCTCATGAGGAGTCCACAACTTACAATATTCCAAAGATATCAATAATACACAAGCTGCTCATGAGGAGTCCGCCACTTGCTACTTCCCAAAGATATCAATAATATATAAGGTGCTCATGAAGAGTCCGCCACTTGTTGTCATGTTGAGATCCCAAAAGAGTGTTGCAACAACACTACAGGGAAACAGAGTAAATCTTCAATAGGAAAGCATGAATAGATTCTTCCTGAGAAGACCAAGTATTTAAATGTGCAAAATAAATGCACTCTCCATATAGGTTTCACAGCCTAGAGAGATCCACGGGGTAGCGTCCACAAGAGACAAGGCTCAATCCAAGAATAAATTGGAGAGAAAACAGTCAAAGAAGACTCCACCCAATGAGGAAGAAAATCAATTGAGGATTTATCCTATCTAGAGATGGAAAAGGAAAGCTAAAGCAAGATTCTTCCACGAGAGTTAAATTAGTGGGGAGTTAGAAAGGAGGCGCACTTTCTGCTTAAGTTGACACTTTATTTGGAAAGAGCAAATATGCTATTTGAATAGACATAACCAAGGTATACGAACCCAATAACATAAACAAATACGGATGTGCATGCATGATGCAAGTGTAAATGAGTAAATGAATGTCATGTATATGTTTGACAAAACAAATAGAAGAGATAAACTGGAGATGATAAGACATCACAGTACAACCAGATACTCGGCTAACCTCAACAAGATGAGAACATTACTGGAGATAGAATAAAAGCCATCGACGGAGCATATTTCTACTATAAGGCTCTAATCTCTCTGGGGAGGTGTTTACGCTTAAAGTTGGTAAACAACCGCTAGCCTTCCAAATTAAACACTTTGGTAACTTGCAAGATCGACTAGATTGATCCTAGGACATGTGTCTAAGTTCTTAAGTTTAAACTATTAATAAAGTTTATGTTTAACATTATTTTATTGATAGCAGTATGAAGATTGAAGATACAATTTACAGTAAGTTTGAATAAGAAAGTTTTGAATGAATAATGTAAGGGTTTCGACTACAAATGTAAAAGAATGTAAAGGAAGTGCAGAATAAATGTAAGGTTTCAATTTGAAAGAGTTTTAATTAAAAAGTAAGAGAAGTACTGGGAATATTAAAAGATTTAGTATTGATAAAATAAGATAAATCGAAAAGAACAATAATGGTGTTTTATATGTACATTT